GCTCATGAACGACACCTTCAAGAGGTGGTACGTCAAATGAGAGACCTCAGGGTTCTCCCGAGGAATACTCATCGCCGTTAGATGATGTCTAGTACATCATTATCTTTTGGGTTAAGGATTAGCCTTTAACATCTGTGCTCTAAGTAGCACTTATCTGTAAAATATTCCTAACTTTCAGTACTCTAATTAGGAATCTAAGAACTGTCAAACTTTCTGTATGGTATGATGTAAGACCTACTGTTAGGTCAATTTTCATTGAACTCGTTACATCAGTAATACCAGTATTATTGACAACTACCTACTCTGTGGGATGAATCTTTACATTTGGGTTTTCCTACACATCTTTCTGGTTATGAACACAAACACTCATTCAATTGTTGGGCTATGGTTAGTTAGTCCATGTGTCATTCGCACATTACTTACAAATTGATTCTTACCACTTTTCTCATCTTTATAAACTTATAGTTGAAAGATGCCTCCTCGCAAATCTACCCGGAATAACCCTACACCTCCACCACCTCCGGTCATTGATACAGCAGCCCTAAATGCTGCCGTAGCTGCAGCAGTGGCAACTGCCATGGCACAGTATCACTCTACTGATGCCAGCAGAGGTGGAACCCCGGTTAACTCCATTCCGGTTGAAACTCCTGTGCGCTCGAGAGAGTGCTCTTACAAGGATTTCACCAACTGTAAGCCGAAACCCTTCCATGGGACCGGCGGAGTCATTGCTCTCTCGCAATGGTTCGAGAAGACTGAATCAGTCTTCGAAATTTGTTCTTGCCCTGCTGCGAGCAAAGTCAAATATGCCGCATGCACCTTCGAAGGGAAGGCACTGACGTGGTGGAACAGCCACGTTAAATCTCTAACTCTCGTCGTGGCCAACGACATAGGCTGGGATACGATGAAAGACCTCATGATTGAGGAATACTGCCCGAGGGCGAGATCCAGAAACTGGAACAGGAGCTTTGGAGCCTGACCATGAAGGGCACCAACATTATCGCTTACACTGCCCGGTTTAGCGAACTGGTGGCCCTCTGCCCTAATATGGTTCCCACTGAAGGGAAGAAGATTGAAAGGTACATATGGGGGCTAGTTCCTCCGTATCAGGGGAATGTTCTATCATCAAACCCCGCTACCTTCGACAGTGCCAAGCGACTGGCACACGACTCATTGACCATGGTGTCAAAACCCCTGCAACCACAACAACCCTAGCCATCTCAGAACCATCCAAACCCGCTGACACCAAGCGGAAGTTCTGGATGACAAGAAGAGGCAGCGAGCTGCC